TCCTTTAGCCAAGACAGTCAACTCCAGCATCCTGCAGTATGACCTGGAGTCCCTGACACGAAAGACCTCTTACACTGTTCGGGTCATGGCCAGCACCAGTGCTGGGGGAGCTAATGGCCCTGAGATAAACTTCAAGACATCGTCAATTAGTGAGTACTCTTTTAGTCCCTGGGAATGTCTCCTTGACATTTCCTTTAGGCCAGTCACAGATGGTGTTTGCCAGGGGCAGGGGGAAGTCAAAAGAAAGGGCAAAGTAAGAAGAACCATTTGTTGTCTGACTCACTGGCCTTCCAGGAAAGCATATGAGTGATGGGAGGGAGAGCAGGAAGATTGAGAGCTGAATTTGGAAAGATGGTTCGTTTTGCTTCTTCCTCATGGGTAGCCTCAAATCTTCATAGAGAGGAGGGATCAAGTTAATGCCAACTTCACTGACAGTTCAAACCAGCCCCACCTCAAGACTGTCCCCAGTTCACAGTTGTCAATCCCTGTGTGTCAAACAAGGAAAAACCTTGCACCACTGACCCACTTAATGTCAGCATTTATGGAGTCTTTTGAGTAAAAAAGTGCATAATATGTTGTAGTAATCAGATTTTATATTAAAAATGGGAGCAAGAAAAAATTAATAAATAAAACAATAATGTAAAATATAATGTGATTCATACGATGCTTGTGGGGGCTATTCAAGCGGGGAAAGAAGATGGGCTGAGAAGGAAGATGAAGGAGAAAGAAGGAAGGAAGATGGGAAAAACAGGTTAATTTTTCCAAGTCTTTGAATGACAGAGATTTGATTGTAAGGATATACTAACACTATTCTTAAAAATGAAAATTAAAGGTGAAGGGATATTGCAAAATTTCAATAAAAGCTAGAAACAGTCTAAGTATTCTTGGAAGTCCTTTGTTTATCATCATGGTTCCAAGAGAAGAAAAGCAGTTTATGGTTCTAGAAAATGTGGGTATAGTATGTGTTTCTACACAGAAAACATGTTCTTTTTTATTGACTGAAACATTGTCTTTGGGGACTTCCTTTATGATATTGCTCTTTAAAATCTTTAAAAATCATATTATCTTTTTACAACACTAGACACAAATTGCATTATCTGGTGGAATTTCTCTAGGGGTCAACTTGAAGGCAAAAGTCTACCTTGGAGCCTAGAAATTTTTACCCTTGGTTCTTATAGATCTCCCTGCTTCTATCTTTGATCCTCTACCATCTGTTTTCCACACAGCAGCCAGAGTTTAAAATCCTAGACTCCTTGCTTAAAAGCCACCAATGACTTCTGTTGTATTTTAAATAAAACCTAAACTCCTTCCCATAGCTTTCAGGACACTTCCTCATCTGTCCCTTCCTGATCTCACCTCCCACCACTTCCCAATTATGTTCCCATTTATGCTCCTGCATCTGCTCTTTTTTCTGTCTGGAATGCTTTCCCCAGAATGAACATGGCTCGTTCCTTCTCATTATTCACATTAGCTCAAATTTCACTTCCCCCAAGAGCCTTCCTTTGCTACCCTATCTAAAGGTGCTAACTCCTATCCCACTTTACCCTAGTTATTCTCTAATAATAAAATAATTTTAAAAATACCCATTTTATCTGAAATAATCTTATATTATTTATTGTCTGAATTCTTGTACCAGAATGTAAACTGCATGAGAGTAGGGATTCTTGTGTTTCTTGCTATTTATTTTATTACTCAGAATAGTGTTTGGCAAATTATAAGTGCTCAGAAATGTTTATTAAATGAATGAAACTGGAGGATGAACCTGGGGAACATAATTTCTGTCAGTATTATTCAGGGAGAGGAGAAATGGAACGAGTTTGAATTAAATTGAAAGAAAATTGACAAGGAGTACGTTGCTAAAACTACTGGAAGGGAATATTACTCTTTGATTTTTGTCAAGAAAGTAAGGAGCTCAGCTTACTACTGATTTTGTTCTCCTTTTCCCAAAGGTGTCTTTGAGATTTTTCTTGTAACTTCTCTGGTTGGAGGGGGCCTTCTTATTCTCATCCTCCTGACGGTGGCATATGGCATCAAAAAACCCAAGTGGGTTTGGAGACAACAATGCGGGCCCTCAAAATGAGGGGTGGAAAGGGAGTGGAAGGCACCATGGGTGGAAGAGGGTGCTCTGCTATTTAGGCATGTTCATTCAACTTTTTGGTTTTTTTACCTAGCTACTGAGTTTATCATGTGCCTTACACTGTGGCACATTAGAATTCTAACTGGAGCAGAGGACCTCCACCCCCACAGCCCCATGCCCCAGGCCTAGGACTTTTTGAAGCCAGGGAGGTGTCAGCTGCTTCACAGGCTTTATCCACTATGTTCTGCAATTGAGCCTAGAGCTGGGGAGAAGATCCTCTTTCTCAGTGTCTAGTGGGGACCACTGGCAGCAGCAAAGGGTCTCCAGGTGGCCAGCTTCTCTTCTAGGCAGAGTAGGAAGCAGGGTACCCATGGAGTTGGAGCTCTGGCCAGCGCATGCCCAGCATAGACTGGTCCTTGCTAATTACACAGTGTTGGAGGGCTGGCTGAAGGCCATTTGTCCTGCCTGCTCTGGCCACTGTAGGGAAGGAAGCCTGTCTTCAGGGTCTTGTCCTTTCTCTCCCCAGGGAGCCTCATTCTACCCTGAGGGTCACGGGCTCCCTCCCTGGTAGACCTCTCTCTCCAGAACTGCACAGTTGTGAGTCTTCTCTGCCAAGCTGCGCTTGTGTGTGCATGCATGCTAAGTCACTTCAGTCGTGTCTGACTCTTTGCAACCCTAGAGACCCTAACTAGGAACCATAGCCTGCCAGACTCCTCTGTCTGTGGAATTCTCCAGGCAAGAATACTGGAGTGGGTTGCCACGCCCACCTCCAGGGGATCTTCCCAGCCCAGGGATTGAACCCATGTCTCTAATGTCTCCTGCATTGGCAGTTTGGGTTCTTTACCACTTACGCCACCTGGGAAGCCCAAGCTGTGCTTAGTTATGGTCAAACTAAGTCAACCTCAGTTCCCGTGGATTGTAACTGAATCTTCAGCACAAATTCTTGTACATTTTGCATATCTAAAAGCTCCCAGGTGGTGACGATGCTGCTGGTTGGGAACCATACTTTGTGAATCACTGCTCTAAAATATGAGTATCTTATAAGACTTAGAGTGTTACCTTTCCTGGGGAATAAATCTCAAACAAATGGCTCTGTGATAGTGTGATTCCCAGCACCAGGACCAGGGGGTGGAGATTCAGTGGCAGGAGAGTGGGAAAGAGTAGCTTTCTGGAGAAAGAAAGGTCTCCCTCCATTACATCGCACAAATGACTTGCTGTTTCAACCCCCCTGCCTCCCCGCAAAGTACTTTGTTTTCTCAGTTTCCGTCAGGAGGCTGTGAGCTTGCCATTATTCAATAGGGAGCCGTACAATTCCCCATGTGTGTGTGCATGTTCAGTCTTGTCTGATTCTTTGTGACCCATGGACTGTAGCCCACCAGACTCCTCCGTCCATGGAAGTTTCCAGGCAAGAATGTTGGAGTGGGCTGCCATTTCCTTCTCCAGGGGATCTCCCCAACTTGAACCTGGGTCTTGCGTCTCCTCCACTGGAAGGCGGGTTAGCATTCTTTTGGCTTGGCCATGCAGTACAAGTAAAATGCTTCTTGGACTTACTTCCTGTTTTAAAATCTTCTCTCTTATTAGCAAACTGAAGCACCTATGTTGACCTGATGTTCCCAACCTTGCTGAAAGCAGTATAGCCATGTGGTGTGGGGATGATTTCAAGGTAAACACTCCTGTTTCTATTAAGGAGACTGTGAGCAGGCTGGTTATGGGAGGTGGACAGGATGATGCAGGTGGGGAGCAGTTCTGGGCTGAGATTTACACAGGGTTCACATAAGGGGAACTCGAGGTTTAAACGTCCCAGGGAGTGGCTGGCAGGACAAGTGGAATCAGCCTTCCTGGAACAACTTTGACCTCAATCTTTGGACAAGAGGAAAGGGCTTCAGCAGGCTCATAGAACTTGGTGTTTGCTGGGCATAGAACTGGTCCTATAAGGGATGCCACAGAAGAAAGACACTGGACCCGACGGTCCAGTTAGAAAGCAGGAGAACCCAGCTATAAGGTTGGAGGCCATTGAAACAGCAGCAAAGAACAAATTAATCCAGAGACCATCTGGGGACTGCTTATGTGCATTTCTGTCCGAAGGCTAGGGCAGGCTGCATCAAATTGTTTTTCTCAGATTGGAGAAGTTGGCAATGGGTATTCTCATGAGTTATTCATAATAGAAAGTTTCCTTTCATATACATTCAGAAGAGTGAAAACTCTTCTGAAATTTTTAAGGTTTAATTTCCTGGTTAAGTAGAAATAAGCCCAATCAAGTATAACCTTTAAATCCTTATTATTGAAGGACTATTTTCAGTATCCCTTGATGCAGGAATTTTTAGTATCAGCCCTCATTTCAACTCAGGAGACTTTTTTAACATGGGCATTAAAATTATTTTATTATTTATTTAATTAAATTCTTGTTATTTCTATTTTCTTCTCTCATCATTCAAGTATTATCCTATTTAATTTCCTACTGATCAAAAGTTATTAACAGAGTAAATGAATTCATAGGAAGTATTGTTTGATGTCTAAAATGTTTTTTGAATTATCTGCAGTACCCACTTATTAATCACTCAGTATATGCCAGGCATTGAACTAGGGTCTGGGAATGCAAAGATGTCAGACCCTGCCCCTGCCAGGAAGCTATCTTTGATTTTTCTGGTGATGTTGGGAAAGTCATTTGTCCTTATGACTGTGATTGTTCCATCTGTAAGAGTTTTAATGTTGATGCTTCCATTTCCACTGGAATTTTGTGAGCCCATGATTATATGAAAAATAGCTTTGGGCTGCCTAGAAGAAGAAATTATTTGAATATAGTGTGTTCTTCTCAGGAAATGGGCCACTCTTGCCAAGGTCCCACGGAAGGGCACCACTTCTGGTCTCTGAGAGGTATGTGGCAGACTAGTTCAGAGGTGGGCTTTGGGTGTCCCAAGCCCAGTAGCTTTTGGCTACATCATGTGTGGCCCCCAAATGACCATTGGGGGCATGTCTCTCTCACTTTCCCAAGGAAAGCTAAATCTGAAGAAGTTTGACAACTCTGTGAACAGAGAAGACAGGATTCTAAAACCATGTTCTTCACCCAATGGCCTTATTGACAAGTTGGTGATGAACTTTGAGAATTTTTTGGAAGTGGTTTCCGCTGAACATCCTGGGAAGGGTTGTGAAAATATCTTGAGAGGAGAAAAGAATGAGTATGTGACCTCCCCAAACAGGCCTTATTGTCCCACTGTTTCAACCGAGATTCCACCCAGAGGGTCCCAGTGTCTGTGTTCTGGGATGTTAGAGGAGACCTGCTCAGAAGCCAGAGAGCAGCTTCTCCCTCCTGCCCAAGGCTTTGGGCCAGACCATCTCTGTGAGGAAGGAGCATGAAACCTATACTTGAAAAACTGAGTTACAACCAGAGAATTTCTTGTGTCTGAAAAACTTACAGAGCAAATCCAAAGAGAAGTTTAAGTGCTGCTGTGATTTGAATCCCCCTGCATCTCAGTGTGGCTGACACAGAGAGGTAGGTGTGGCTCCAAGAGCTTTCTTGGCATCTTCCCATCCTGCTTGTGTTAGAGAAAGCCTTGCACACCCCCAAACTTGGTTGGTACAGATGTGGAATTCGCTTGAGAAGAAAGATTGGTGATCAGTCAGAGAGCAGAGGAGGTTCAGGCAGTGCTAGGAGTCAAGGTGAGGAGGGTGGCCTGAGTGTGTACCAGGGGCTCCCCATCCCAGAACATAGGGGACCCCTCAAGGGCCTAATTCCTACACCTTGTCAGCCCTGGAAATCTCGGACTGTGCTGACTGCACCCTGGGGAGCCACCCTACTTCGTCCTTCAGGTAGCCAGGGGACTGCCTGCCCCAGAGGTATGCCCCTGTGAGGTCTGAGAGCACACCTCAAGGGGAGACCTGTAAGTGGCCTGTGTCAGAACTCCCAGGGTGCATTGCTCAGCTGAGGCTGCTGACACCCACTTTCTCCCCCAGATGCGAAGTCCCCATCTTTTCCCCTGCCTCACTCCTGGCTCTGGTTTGATCCCAGGCATTGCACTCATGGTCAGGATGACTGAGCTGAGCAAACCTGAGGAAGATCTTCAGGACCCAGGCGAGGCCCAGGGCCCGGAGGAGGCGCAGCTCTTGGGGGCTGAGGCAGGGGAGGCTGCATCCACCTCGGCCTCCTCCCCCCAAGTCTCCTGGTCCGCCCTTGCGGAGGCCTTGCCCCAGGAAGCTTTGAATGAGATGGTGGCTAACCTGATCAACTTCCTGCTCTTCAAGTATCGAGCCCAGGAGCTGACTTCCCAGGCAGAAATGCTGAAGAAGGTCCTCAGGGATAACCAGGAGCACTTCTCAGTGGTCTTCAGCCAAGCCTCAGAGTGCCTAAGGCTGGTCTGTGGTGTGGAGGTGAAGGAGGTGGACCCCAGGGAGCACATATACATCATGGTCCCCATCCTGGGCCTCACCTGCAATGCTGAGCAGTGGGCAGAGCATGCCCAAGGCCGGCCTCCTGGTGCTGGTCTTCAGCCTGATCATGCGTAATGGAGACTGCGCCCCTAAGGAGGAGTTCTGGGGAGCACTCAGCAAATGGGGATGTTTGTCAGGAGGGAGCACTGTGTCTTAGGGGAGCCAAGGGAGCTGCTGACCCAAGTGTGGGTGCAGGAGGGGTACCTGGAGTACCGGCAGGTGTCTGACAATGACCTGGCTCGCTTCAAGTTTCTGTGAGGTCCCCAGGCCTGTACGGAGACCAGCAAGTAGGAAGTCATGGAGTACCTGCTAAGAGTCCACCAGCTGTTTTCCAGGGCCTTCCCACCCCCATCTGCAGAGGCTGTGAGGGAGGAGGAAGAGGAGCCCTGACCCAGAGAAGCAGCCAAGCTGATCCTTCCCTCTGTGATTGAAGAGGGAGCAGTCAGCCTTCTCAGTAGTGATGGCCTGGGCCACTTGGGGGAACCCGGGTGTAGCATCTTTGTGTTCCTTTTCTCTGTGATGACATGGAAATTCATCTCTCTTTCCTTTTTAAGGAATTTTTCAAATGTGTTTTTTCAGCTTAAGCCTTAATAAACTTCAGTATCTAACTTGTGAATGACATTGATCACACATGTATTTGTACATAACCAGTTAAAGGACCAGAGTTTGGCTGTTTTGTAAAAGAGATTGGAAACTCTTGCATTTTATTTTGTGACCCTGAGCAAGATCACATGGAATTGGAATTACAAATATTTTGGATATGTGAACTTACTTAGCAGGATATCGTTGGTGGAAGAATTGGAAAATAAAAAACGATTGTAGTGAATTCTCGCTTCTTATAGGTTCTGACTGTCCTTTTCTACAGCTAATCCACCACATCTGTTTACTTGGATTTTGCCAGGTTATTATTTAAGAAAGTAGGAGAAAATTGATGAGATTAATAAGCCCCCTTCTCACTGGTTCATTTATTCCACACAATTTCATGGAGCCTCTGCTCTGTGGAAGGCTCTGTGTTAGCAGTGGGGACACTAGGAGAAGCAGGACACCCCCACACCTAGAGCTATGGTCTAGGAGCCACAGTCACAGGAGGAAGGTAGAGAGACATACCATAGTCCCACAGAACAGGCAATATGGGGCACAGCGGTGGGGATCCAGGAGGCGCACTTGAGTGTTGGTGCCTGAGCCAGGGCTGTTTGAGGCTTTGGGAAGCTGGGCTCCTTCTGTGGGAGATGATGGTAATGAACCTGAGTGTTGTCAACAGCCAGACTGTAGATGGTGTCTTATGAGTGAGAGGAAAGTCTGGAATCAGGCATGCATGTTAGAAGTTCATCTTCTCTCCAATAAATCTCCTGCATTTCAAAAACAAAGTGCACTTTGGTCAGAACAGGTAGACACCTGGTTTTTCTGCCTGAGTCTAAATACACTTGAAAGTTTCCAAATGGGAAATGAGTGAATTTGGTTTGGCACACAGTCTACTCAGTCTCAGGGAGTATAGTTGAAGACATTTCAATTACCACCCCCCGTCTTCTGGTAAGATTTTAATTGGGTTCTTCTTTGAAACTGGCAATTGGACACTTCAACTGATGGGTCAGCTTTCCTAGGTGGTCAGACCCCCAAAGCCATAGTGAAGGAGGAAACAGAACAGGCTCTATCTTGAAAGTAGGACTCCATCTTGGGCCGGACTGTGGACTTTGAGCTATAGGCCCCGTATCTATGGAGACGACATACCAACTGGAAAACCAGGACCCCGGAAGGAAGAGCCCCAGGGCTCTCCACCCCCTAAAAGAATACCTTAATTATCTGTGTAACCGAATAGAATCATACATTCTATTATGCCTACTGGGGTATGACCAGAGGCTTATTGATAATTGTCCACTGTTAACTACCTAGGCTTAAGGCATATGATCATGGGTTAACTTTGTTTGGATCTTTCTTTTTCCTTTGTTCAGACTAGTTTCAGGGAAACTTATACACTTAGGGTATATAAGGTTTTCACAAACACTGGTCGAGGTCCTTGGCTAAGAGGAGACTCTGTCTTGGGTCCACCGGTGTAATAAGCTGCACTCCACTATCTGCATTCTCCTTCTGAGGAAGTTTGTTTCTCGGAACGCGTGGCTACAACAATAAAAGCTGCACTGAACTTGAATTCAAACACCTCAGAATCCTCCTGGAGAAGGCGATGGCACCCCACTCCAGTACTCTTGCCTGGAAAATCCCATGGACAGAGGAGCCTGGTAGGCTGCAGTCCATGGGGTCGCAGAGAGTCAGATACTACTGAGCAGCTTCACTTTCACTTTACACTTTCATGCATTGGAGAAGGAAATGGCAACTCACTCCAGTGTTCTTGCCTGGAAAATCCCAGGGATGGGGGAGCCTGGTGGGCTGCTGTCTATGGGGTTGCACAGAGTCGGACACAACTGAAGCGACTTAGCAGCAGCAGCAGCAGCAGCAGCAGCAGGATGCTCCTTGAAGGTGAAGAGTGGTGCATTGTGCTTATCCTTGATGGATTTTGTAAAGAAAACTCCTACTGTCCTTTTTCTCCCACTGTCACTTGTCTGATACCTGCCTCTCATGAAGGTCATGGCTGTTGGGAAGCCTACGGGCACCTGTGCAGGTGCTCAGACAAGTTCTATCCTGTGGAGGCAGCCGAGTCTCCCAGGCTACACTCCCTGGCATTAGGAGGTAGGGCCACATATTCACTCTGCTGAGAATGTGGCCGGGCATCGCTGCAGAGGGTAGGGCAGAAAGAGAACTGGAGGGAGTGGGGGGAGAGGGACCCCTCCCTGACATGCCCAAGAGCCTTGGAAACTAAATCAGATCTTGCATTGGAAAGTGCCAGTAGAAAAAAAAAAAAAAAAAGAAAGAAAGTGCCAGTAGAGAGTAGTGACTAGAAACAGTTGAAGATTCAAGGCATCTTTGGCTTCCTCAGAAACTCTTCAACACGTGAAGGGAACTGTCTTCATCACAAGCTATACCTACCGGCTGCTGTCTGTTGAGCACCAGCACCGAGTACACTGCAGGTCAGGGGAGAGACTCCAGGTCCTTGTTCACATCTCTTCTCCATGGGCTTCCTGGAAGCTGCCTGCAGGGAACAGGGAATCCTTATGTAAACCTACAACAAGTTGGAAATAATACATGATTAATTCACCGATTTTAATACAAAGAAAAAAAACGGTTCATCTAAATGACAATAGCATGTCGTTTAGGGAAAAAGTATCCCATGTGTCTTGATGCCTGTGGTGGGATGGAAAGGTATTTTGGATACAGGTGGTGCCACATCCATGAGCCTGAGCTCCCAAGAAGCAGGAAACGCTCCTGCCTGACAGATAGAAGATCTGTCCAGGTGCTGTCCATTCAGGGCCAAGGGTGAGGACCTGGGCTCTTCCCAGTGGCACAGTCAGAAGGTAGGTGTTTTAAGCAGAACTACTCTCTTCCTAGAGCCCTCCAGGACAGTTGTGATGTAGACAGGGTGGAAGAGGAAGGAACATTTTGGATTCTGGGCACTGCAGATGGTATCCTGGGTGTGGTACAGCCAGAGGGACTGAGGAGGGTGGAGAGCCCTGGGAGCAAGGGGCAGGGATGCAGCCTAGGAGTCTGGAGCTGAGCTTCAAGCCAGAATCACATGAGGACCACACAGTCTTCTCCCTCTGCCCTCCTTCTTGGGTCCATCCTTCTCTCCCTTTCCCTTTGTCACACGGCAGGGCTGCAGGAGAAGAGGAGACATGTGGATGGGGAACTGGTGCCTGAACCTCTGCAGAGAGGAGCGCAAAGCACCAGGTGGGAACCATGGCTCATAGGTCAGTAGGACTGTTATGATATCTCCTGGGGGAACCATCTTCCTTTGGGAAGAGCATGTCCTGTCACCACCATTAATAGAGTGACCAGTAGCCACATGAGGCTGGGTATTATGAACTCAAATGTACTTAGTGTGTCCCAGGGCCTGGCCTTCTATCATAATATAATGCAAAGTCAAATGTAAATAGCTAGAAGTGGCTAACGGCTAGATAGCCCCACTGAGGAACTGCAGAACCTACACGGGGGCCCAGAAGCACAACTTCCCCTGTGGGTCACTGGGAGTGGTGGTAGGTGGGGTCGCTGTTCCCTCTGGTTCCAAGGCCATGTGTCTTACTTAGTGGGGGAACTAATGATGACAGATGTGGAGTTTGTCCAGTCCCCGGAGGGTGAAACCCCAGCACCTCGGGCTCTCATATCCCAGTGTGCACCTCACATGTGCTTCGTAGAAGCCATTCTGCTGCTCCAGGAGACCAGCAGCTCTGGAAGCTGTGGTCTCAGGACAGTGAGGGCTTTGGTGTGAAGGTCCAGGCTTAGGTCAACTCAGAGACATCCTGTACCTTGCAGAGCTCAAGATGAGGACCCTGAGGAGGACACAAGGACCCCATGGATCCCACCCCTGCTGTCATCCCTAGGCATCCCTTATGGCGGCATGAGCACTTGGCAGCATGTCCCTAACTTTGGCATCCCTGTCTCTGACAGGTTGGGGACCTAATATAAGGAGTGGGCCTTCAAAGGAGAAGGGGAGGATCTTAGGTTCTGAAGAAGTCTGGGTTAGGACCCTGAGGAAGGACTGAGGGCATCCTGGACCCCATCACAGAGTGGACTCAGGAAGCACATAGGGTGGAATGAGCACATGCCGCATTTCCTGACATCCGGGTCTCAGAGAGACTGGGGACCTGCTATAGGCGGCGGGGCCTCAGGTGGGCAGAGAGGAGAATTCCAGGTCTTGGAGGCAACAAGTTGAGGTCCCTGAGGGGGGACTAAGGGACCCTTGGCCTCAAAGAAAGCTGTCTGTGTTGTCGCTCCTTGGCGACCCTGAGGTAGGATAAGAACCACAGGCATGGTCTGACTTCCTGACATCCGGGTCTCAGAGAGACTGGGAACCTTGTATAAGGGGCGGGGCCTCAGGTGGGGAGAGGAGAGAATCTGAAGCTCTACCCGGAGACAAGGTAAGGCCCTGAGGGAGGACTGAGGGGACCCCCAGGGAGGACTGCTGGAGCCCCACAGATCCCCGCCCCTGTCATCAGGCCTGGGAGACCCTGGGGTGAGAAGAGCACACTGCGCCTGTCCTGACTTTCTGACTTCCGGGTCTCAGCGAGACGGGGGACCTGGTGTGAGGAGCCAGGCCTCAAACTCGGGGAGGACAGAGCCCCAGTCCTACCGGGAGTCAGGTGAGGACCCTGAGGGAGGAGTGAGGGGAGCCGGACCCCAGAACAGAGGGGACCCTGGTAGTCCCCAGGCAGGACGACCTCGCGCTGCATTTCCTGACATCAGGTCTCAGAGAGACGGGGGACCTGGTGAGAGCGGCGGGGCCTCAAAATGGAGGACGGGCCTGTTCCAGGTCCTGCCTGGAATCTAGGCTCCAGGCGGGGAAGGACTGAGGCAGTTAGACCCCAACACAGAGAGGGATCCTTGCCTTTGATGGGGGTCTTAGAGGTCCCAGAGCGGGTTGAACAGGATGAGCAGTTTGTCGACCTCTGGCTTAGGGGCCTCGGGAGATGAGGTGTTCAGGCGGAGGGTGGAGGCTTCAGATCCACAGAGGGTGGACTCCATGGACAGAGCCGAACCCACTCTTGTGGTCAGTGCTGGGAGTCTAGGCTGGACGTGAGGTGAGGACGAAGCATCTCCCCAGCCTAAGTAGGACCCACGGGAGGCCCTGGGCAGCTGTGACCACATGTGGGGCCCCTTAGTGCTTTCTCTTCAGACTCGGATCTTGTTCCGAGTTACTCTGCAGGCCCCCAAAGGGCAGGGTCCAGGCCGTGGCAGCGGAAAGGTGGGCACTACAAGGGAGCGACAAGAGGACCACTTCCCCTACAGCTTGTGGGGGGAAACTCAGAGTTCAGGTCTGTGGAGAATCTACCCCCGAGGGGCCCCCTCCATTTTTCTCACAGGGGCTCCAGGAACCAGGAGGCAAAGGCAGAGGTCTGAGGCCTGTTTCCAGAGGTCAGAGAACAGAGAAGGTCCAGGCAGTACCAGGAATCAAGGTGAGGAGGGTGCCCTGAATGAGCACGAGGGGTTCCCCACCCCAAAACAGAGGGAACCCCGCAAAGCCCGAATCCCCGCACTGTGTCAGCCCCAGAACCTCTGGCTGTGCTGGCTGCATGCAGGGGAGCCACTGCCCTCCTCCTGCGGGTAGCCAGGGGTCAGACCACCCAGGAGGCGGGCCCCTGTGAGGCCGAGAGCACCTCTCAAGAGGAGACTTCTTAGTGGCCTTTGTCGACCACCCAGGGTGTACTTCTTAGCTGAGGCCCATGGTCCACAATGTCCCCTGCCTCCTATCTGTGGTTTGATCCCAGGCATCTTGCTCGTGGTCGAGATGAGTGAGCTGAGCAAGCCCAAGGAAGACCTTCAGGACCCAGGCGAGTCCCAGGGCCCAGAGGAGGCACAGCTCTTGGGGGCTGAGGGGGGGGGAGGCTGCGCCCCCCTCGGCCTCCTCCCCCCCAGTTTCCTCGTCTGCCACTGAGGAGGCCTTGCCCCAGGAAGCTCTGAATAAAATGGTGGCTAACATGGTGAAGTTCCTGCTCCGCAAGTATCGAACCAAGGAGCCAACTTCCGATGCCGAATTGCTGAATGAAGTCCTCAGGGATAACCAGGAGCACTACCCGGTGGTTTTCCGCCAAGCGGTTGAGTGCGTTCTGCTGGTCTTTGGGGTGGATGTGAAGGAGGTAGACCGCAGGAAGCACATCTACATCATGGTTCCCACCCTGGGCCTCACCTGTGATGCAATGCAGAGAGGTGGGCAGGGCCTGCCCAAGGCCGGCCTCCTGGTGGTGGTCCTCAGCGTGATCCTCCAGAATAGGGATCGTGGCCCTGAGGAGGAGATCTGGGGAGCACTCAACAAGATGGGGGTGTATGTTGGGAGGGAGCACTCCATCTTTGGGGAGCCCAGGGAGCTACTGACCCAAGTGTGGGTGCGGGATGGATACCTGGAGTACCGGCAGGTGCCTGACAGCACCCCTGCTCGCTACGAGTTCCTGTGGGGTCCCCGGGCCTTTGCGGAGACCAGCAAGGAGAAATTCACGGAGTATCTGCTCAAGGTCAACCAAAGGGCTTTTAGGTCCTTCCCACTCCCTTCTGCAGAGGATGTGAGGGAGGAGGTAGGGGGACCCTGAGCCAGAGCAGCAGCCAGGCTGATCTGTCCCTCTGTGATTGAAGAGGGAGTAGTCAGCCTTCTCAGGAGTGATGGCCTGGACCACTTGGGGAACCAAGTGTAGCATTTTTAGGTTCCTGCTCTCTGCGATGACATGCAGATTGATCTCTGTTTTCTTTAGGAATTTTTCAAATATGTATTTCAGCTTAAGGCTTAATAAACTTCAGTATCTAACTTTGTGAATGACATTGATCACACATGTATTTGTGCTTACCCAGTTTAAGGACAAGAGTCTAGCTGTTTTTTAAAAGAGTTTGGGAACTCTCCCATTTATTTTGTGACCCTGACCATGGTAACATGAGAATGAATTATAACTGTTTTGGAAATGTGAACTTACTTAGCAGTAATGTACTTGGTGAAAGAATTAGAAAATAAAATGTGATTATAGCGAAGTCTTCTTCTTATACTTTTTATCTGTCATTTTATACTGTTAAGCTATCTCAGTTTATTTGATTTTTCCCGGTTATTATTTAAGAAAGTAGGAGAAAACTAATCTGACTAAATAAGGCCCTTCTCCCTGGTTCATTTATTCCACAGAACTTCACGGAGCCTGATTTCTGTGACAGGCCATGCTAACAGTGGGAAAAGCAGGGCACCCCCACACCTGGAGTGATGATCTCAGAGCTGCAGTCACATGAGGAAGGTGGAGAGACATCCCCTAGTCCCACAGAACAAGGCAACACGTGGAGGGACAGTGGGGTTCTAGGAGGAGCCCTCGAGTGTTGGTTCCTGAGCCAGGGCGGTTTGGGGCTTTGGGAAGCTGGGTTCCTTCTGTGGGAGGGGATCGTGATGAGACTGGGTGGTGGCAGCAACCAGACCCCTCGATGATGTCTTATGGGTGAGAAGAAAATTTGAAATAGGACATATACATTAGAAGTTCCTTGTCATTTGCAGATGAATCTCCTGGTTGCCTAAGATAAAGTGCACTTTGATCAGGATCAAGTAGACGCCTGGTTTTTCTGGCTGAGTGTAAATACACTCTAAAGGTTCCAAATGAGACATGAGTGAATTTGGGTTGGCACACAGTCTTCTCAGTCTCAGGGTTTATAGCTGAAGACATTTAGTTACAATGTTGCAGAAACCAGTACTCGGGAAACCAAGCATGACACTTGGAGAGTTGGAGAAAGGTTTATTACACCAGCGGGCCCAGAGGAGTTAACACTCCAAGCTCTGAGCCTCAAACAAAGGGATTGCAGAGTTTTTATATATAGGCTGTAGTGGGCAACACTAGCTGTTAATAGGCTGGTTTAAACTAAGGGGTTTCTCATGGGTCAGAAGAGTGGTCAAGATGGGGAGGGGGATTCCTGACCTGGACAGGCATGATTAAGCAGGTTTGCAGGGGCTGGGTGATTGCAAAGAGCAGGACAAGGGTGAGTGAGATAAACTCCACTTCCTAGCATTGCAAGTCTTCACTTTCTGACGCTATGGGACCTATGTGATCTAGACTTTGCAAGGGGCAAGCTGAGTTACAGAGGCAGAAGGAGAAGGAGGTGCTGTAAAAATTTAACTTTTCCTCTTCATTCCCCCTTCTTGATGCTTCTATCCCTCGTTGTAGAAAGCATCATCTCATGTTTTTGGTAGGACATTCAGAGCTCCCCATCGTTTAGGGGGCTGTATTGAACTATTACCGTTTGTAACTTTGTGGATTCAATCCAAGAGGTTATGAACTGGGTAATAGCATTGAGAATACAAGGGCCAAACAAGAGTGCTGCAAAAAAGCATGAAGTGAGGACCTGTTAAAGGGAGAAGCCATGATGGTCAACTCCAGATATTGCTCCAATTACCCCAGGAATTAGCTAGTTTTTCTCTCCTTTTATGATTTGTTCCCTTAGCTGTTCGGCCATGTTCCTGACTATTTCTGACTGGTTTATATAAAAGTAGCATTCTTCATTCATGAAGAGGCAGAGTCCTTCCTTTTCAGCTGTCAGTAGGTCTAGACCTCTCCTATTTTGCAAAACCACCCCAGCCAGGGCATCTAGTTGGTCAGGTAAGGCCACTAAAGATTTGGCCACTCTCTCAATGTCGTCTGTGAAGTCTTTGGATAGTGTATGGTAAATGATGTTTGGTGAAGCAATTCCTCCTATCCCCATACCTATCCCAGCCATGATTCCCAGACCTGCTATTAGGGGTGTAAACTGGATGGCTCTTTTTGACCTTGTATGTGCTGCCAGAGGTACGGTGAGAGTCTGGTTGTTAGGGCCAATATTCATCTGGGGAGTGAGGAAAGCTAAGGTGCAGATACCCATCTAATTGACAGGTAGACACAAGTAAGCATCTGTCCCACAAACAAAGAAAAGGCCTTGATGGGGGCAGCACCATCTGTTACAGCAAGGGACACCAAAAGGCTGCAAAGCAGCCTGCACATAACAGGTAACTGAAGATTAGCAAAAGGGTTTCTCCCCATCTTTGGGTTGTCATGGCTCTAGCAACTGAGCCTATCGTGAAGGGAGGTCAGTTATATTGTGGAGCAGTTTAGTTTGTAGGGAGAAACAATTGTAAGAGACTTCTAATAAGCATGAGGCTTCCCATTACAATGAGATGACAGACAGTTAACTGCAGCTTCTGACCCAAACCCCAGTCCTGGGGTGTGACTGAAACTAGTCCTGTTGTGAAGAGCACTAAAATAATAGGAATCAGGGATAGAGTCCAGGCTTGACAATGAAAATCCATTGATATTTTGATAGCCAGATCCTCAAGCTTCTGTCGTGTGCTGACCAGCCAGCTGCTGAAGTGTGGCTGGAGCAAGGCTCAGCATTCTTCGTGGGTGAGGGTCATTGTTTTTGGAAACAGACCTTGAGGATGTTTTTGGGGTCCTGAACTGCTTTCAAGGTGTCCTCATTATAGGAAGCTGCTGCCTTCTTGACTCTGGTGTGGTGGATCCAAGGGATGAAACCTATAACTTTAACAGTAGTAGGGGTTGGCAGGATGACCATGTGAGGGCCTGTCCAAACTGGCTAAAGTGGTTCCTTTTTCCAGTCTTTAACCCATACCTCATCTCCTGGCTGATAGGGATGAACCCAATTGCCCAGTGGAATGGGTGTCCTTTCTCAGATTTCTTGGGCGATATGACAGAAGAATTTCCCAGGGCCTATACCTCCAGGTCAGCTAGTTGGTGGTCTCCCTTTAGCTTTTTCATCACTGGGGGTGATCTCCTGTATAAGATTTCAAAGGGAGAATAGCCTGGGTCCTCGGGGTGCATTTACAGAGGGCGACGTGAGTCCACAGACTAAGGCAGCTTGTTCTAGCGTTGTCTGGGCGTTGGCCGGGGGATATTCTTGTCGTAGTTCTACTTGGAGAAACAAACTTAACAAGAAAGTTAAAGATATATGGCCCAAAGATTAATAGAAGTAGAAAAGCTGCCGAGGCACAACTAGGAGAACCAGGTCCAGACATTGGTCCGTGACATTAGTGTTTCTCTAGGTGTGAGAAGATGCAAGAATTTGGACTCATAAAAATCTTTACCTGAAAACATCTGGCTATCTGAAGGCCTGTTTCTGTGGGTTTTTCCCAGAGCTCAGAGTGCCTTATTTTTTGTCTCCACCCTTAACTCTTTTCAAGGGGGTGTTGAAGATCAGCATCTTGTAGTGGTCATGATTTAATCTTTGTAGAGGCAGCTGGCAAGGGCCAACTTCCAGTTGATAGTCATTTTTATTTGATGGGTTAAAGCCTTACCTGTGTACAGTGTTAATGCCTTCACAATGAGTTCTCAAAAAAAAAAAAAAAAAAGAAAAAAGTCATGTTTCATTAAATATTAAGTTCCGGTTTTCTTAATTAAGGTCTGTGCTACTAAAACTCACTTCTGAGATTGTTCCTTCTTACGTTATATTGCTAAAAGGTTTAATTAAATTATTAAAAAAAGACACTCTTAAGATTGTCATAGTCATATTTGACTTCATAGTCATATTTGACCATGTTTGGGGGGCATTTCATGGTCATTGTGTCCCGTGGTGCTGGGAAGGCACATTCCCAGGTCTAACAAAGATTCCATTGACAGGCCACTCAATGTGTTGTCACTAGACCAGGACTTGTAAGTAGCAAAAGTCTCTGGACCATACCTGTCTTACTAGCCGCTTGGTCCAGGAAAATGTTCCCTCTTGTTGTTTCTTCCCATATCTAAGTTTACATTATTACAATTATTGATCTCATATGGAACTGCATATCAGCATTTTATCACAGGCTCTGTGACACATTTGGTAACATAAGAAATAATCTTCTGAAACAAGCTACATAGAAAATACTATAGCTAGCAGTTATTAGTAAGGTCACAAGCAAGAATTTAAGTCAAGAACTTTCATTGGGTATAGCCCGGTATAGCCCAGGTCACCTGTCTCAGTTAAATGATTATAGTCAAGTGTTAATCTCCTGGTTGTACATCATGGAGCATCTGACCTTTATCCAAAGACTGGTTGCTGAGGTAAGATTTAGAAACAATCCTAAGAGTGTCTTTTTAAATAATTTAATTAAACCTTTTAGCAATATAACATAACAAGGAACTCTCAGAAGTGTGTCTTAGTAGCACAGACCTTAATTAACAAAACTAGAACTTAATATTTAATGAAACATGATTTTTTTCTTTTCTTTCTTCTTTTTTTTTTTTTTTTGGAGAACTCATTGTGAGGGCATTAACACTGTATGCAGGTAAGGATTTAACCCATCAAATAAAAATGAGGTCTATCAGGGAGCCGGGAAAAGCTAAGGGGCCATCTTGGATTTCCCATAGCCCTGGATCTTTGATGTTTAGGTGCTGTTTATTTATTTTTAATTTCCTGATGTAAGAGCAGACTGTCACCATGTTTTAAGGACATCAAGATAGTAAAAGTTTAACCTTGAAGGGTTATTTTTGTTGAAGCAGAATGAGCTTTGTCTACATGTACCATAATCTTAAATAATGTTTATTTATGTTACCAAAGTAACAAAAACATTTTAAAAACCAAT